GTCGCTATTCCAAACACTGAAACTGTGAATTTGTGCTCATGTTTTAGTGTTACATTTGGCACAAAGTGTGCCTGTGAACTGCACTTGCCGTATGACTGGTTTTGCACTAAAATAGTGGACTGAACTTTTACATTGCTAGAATACATACAGCAGGTTTTGTAGTAGCTTAATGTGTCAAAGTGGTATTTAACCCACACCTGCATTAATCATTGCTGAATAAGTAGTGATGATCATTTGCATTATCACTGTAAAACTTTTATTCTTATGTGCACATAACTTTGCATTACACACCCTTCTCTATATATAACTTTGAGGTGTTACTCTTATAAGCTGTTGTTATGACCTGTATCTGAGGACAGGTAAAAAACTCTGTTTAAGATTCTTACACGTGCTAAATTATGACTACTCAGGATGAAACTGGTCATTCCATGCCTCTCAGATTTTGTTTTCCACTAGAAATCCTCAGCTCCAAGTGGATCGGTTTTTTGGGATCTTTCTTGTTGTTTGTTTTTATTTTTAATTTTGACTATAAAACTGGAGCTGCTTATTGGAACAGGTTTTATGACTCTGGGGAGGCACGTTACACTTTGTTTTGAGGAATGAATCGTGCATCTTTGGGGAATGTGTAGTCTTTGTTCTTTGTGGGTGTTCTGCTCACATCTGACCAAGTTACGAGGTGTTTAAAAGTTGTATTTTGCCCATACTCACAATGTTTTAAGAGCTTGACATAAGTTTTCCAAGGGTATGCAAGTATACCACTCCCAGATGTTAAAGTTGCTGTATATAATGTTTGCCAACAAAATAACCACTTGCTTCAGTGCTTGGTTTTTGTGGAAGCTTTCAAGATGGCCATGTCCGGTTCTGGCCTTGTTCCTGCTCACTTGCTCTTTCAATGGCTCTTTGCTTTCTAGGAAGCTGGGTAATTTTTGTGCTCTATTTCAAGGCAAAGTGTGTATCTTCAGTTCTTCATGCATCTCAGTGTGGAGCTGTGTCAGCTCTGTACTGATCTGTGTGGATAAAGATGGGAGATGTAATTAGGAAAAGGCTGAATCTTAAATTCTGGCTTTGTTCAATTCATCAAGTACTGCAGTACAGGAGGAGTGTTTCTGTGGAATGAAGTGGTGGGCACTGAGGATCCAGTGTTGATGATATAATAATTTGGGGAAATACTGCTTTTGCCTAGGTGAGTCCATAGGCTAAATGTCCTCTTACGTTTGGAGTGGATCTTCTAGTTCAGTTTAGCCTGAAAGAAACCAGGTTTGTGTATTTGGACACCACTGTGCAATGCATGCCAAAGGATCTGAAGTAAGGACAATGGCAGGTTTGCTTCAGAAACCCTCTCCTAATCTGAGCTAAACCACGATGTAGATGTATGCGTTGTCTGGCTGCTGGAGTTGGAAGTGCCTGGGACAGAATCTGAGAGCCCACAGAGCCTGTTCCTCTTTCTACCACTATAGTATTGGCATGGGATTAAACTTATTTCTGTGTGGAAGTGAGTATATTTTTCAAATAGCTGAAGTGGTAGAAATCTGTGCTTTGGACTGCAAGTCACAGGTAACTGCACACTGAGAAGTTTTGACTTCATGGTGGAAATGCGGTGGTTTTCATTTCTTTCTAAAATATAAGAAATCAGATATTCAAAATGTTTACCGAGTGAATATATCGCCTGGGATAGCAGATGCTCAAAAATCAAAGCGTCAGATAGAGATTACCTCTGTGACTGTAACATAGCCTAGTAGTAGTCACAAACTCTTCCACATGAGCTCCTTCCCTTATTCAGAATATAAATCACTAGTAAACCAGATCTGGAGTGACCTAGAGAAACAATATAATGAAAATATGTCCGAGTGATGATAAATTTGCTTTCATTTTGAGTTACCTTGGGCCTGATTTATAGCCATGCTGGCTATTTAGAATAGCAGCTGAAATTGCATTTTCAAAGCACAGTCCAAGTTAAAGTTGTATTGAAAGTACTGACTGAAAAACAAGGCACTAAAGTGTCTGAGATTTGGCATCCAAAGTTAGTGGGCATTTATTTTACCCTTTGGACTTTCATCATTGCATGCCAGACACCCACCTTTAGAACAGGAATGGGAATACCGATCTTGCGAAGTTTACACTTATTGTATGTAGTCTTCCCATGCTATGGGCAGATCTGCATGGGGAAATGTAAGGGTTTTGTATTCAGTGTAGGATGCAGATGGTAAGTATTTAATGGGTCATAGGGTGAAAGTAAAAACTGGGCAATTGTCCATTTGCTGAATGAATCAGAAATCCTGCTGGGGAAAATGGAATAAAGCAGCAGAAAGAATATCATCGGAAGTAGGTATGTATAAAGGCTAAAATAAAGTTGCATGTCTTTCAGATCTGAAGTGCTGCATTGCTTGGTTTTCCATAGCTGTATTTAAAGCTTTGTGAGGATTTGATGTGATACAAGTCTGCAATACCATTGGTGCTTTGTAAGCCACATTTCAGTGTGCTGTGAGGCAAGTATAAGGATTGCATTGGTAGGAGTAGAGAAGGAATGCAGGGTGGTGTGTGAACATTGTGGTGATGTCCTTTATGTTTCCAATTACACGTATGTTTGTGCAGTTTTTGGGAGGAGCAGTTTAAAAATACCCACTGGTGGTTTTGGAGTCACTTACAAGGAAGGCTTTCAGAACAAGATTGTTCTGCTTCAGTCATTTAGTCATGTGTTCAAAACAGTGACATCATGAATTGATGTCTCTGGAAGTTTTGCTTGTGGGGCTGGTCTAAAGGTATTCTCATAATACGTTTTATATGAGGATTTTCCACATTCCTAAGCCTGCAGGCTCATCCTGAATTTTGGAATTCGGGATTTGTTGTTTTGCTTGTGTCTGCTCCTGTAGAGATGATGATACAGATCAGAGATGCCAAGCGCTTCTACCCTTTGCCTCAGTAGGACTGAGGTGATGAGTTTTCTTCTTTCCTGGGTCTTGCCAGTTTGCTTTGAGGGCTCATGGAAAAGGGCATCATGAGACATCAATTGGTAAATAGTCTGTAATGCAGGCAAAGAAGTGATGTCTGGACATTGCTGGTTTTAGTGAATGCTAACTTGTCTGCTTATGGACAGGTCTTCATGCCCATTTCTGCCCTCTATCTCTTAACCTCAGCTTTACTGCATATATGTCCCAGTTTTTAACCTTGGTTTCCCTCCCCCTTCTAGTCTGTCTAGGGGTTCCTTAGGTCAGAAACATGCTCTGGGGTATACATAGCATAATTTCTGTAATAACTATCCAAAACAAATGTCGATGCAGAATGCACAGTTAATTATTTTTGCTTTCACTTTTTCTTTCTTGACCTCTTTTCTTAAAAACATTATTAGTTATTTTCCGTTTCAGTGATTCATTAAACTAGACTGTTTCATATGAGACTTTTCCACTAAATCCACTCAAGTTACAAACCTTGCTCTGTTTCATTTGCATCATTGCTCATAAAGGAGAGAAAACAGGTCAAGTTATGCCCTGGAAGAATATTGCCTCATTTGTTTAGGATTTTTCAAACACAGTTAAAAGTATAATGGAAATGTGGGAGTAAGAGAATGGATAGCAAAGTGTATGGTTTAGTTTAGGGAACTGATCCTGTTAAAAACCACAGCCCTGCCTTCTGAGCCTCCTCTTTCCCTGGTAACGCCTAATGCTTGTGTAACTTGGCCTAATGGAAGGTTCAGAACAAGGGAAACTATCCTTTGATTTGCAAATGGGGAATCTATGCTATGATTACAAATATGAGACTTCTGTAGGTGGTTGGTATTATTTAGCTTCTACTTTAAATATAACCATGTTTGCATACTCTCACCCTTAACCCTTACCTGATGTTGCCTGAAGCTTGGCTGAAAAATGATGAAGGAATGGACTAGCTGAATTATAGTACTGGAGGTGTCTACCATGTTGCTGCAACCATTCATGTTGTCTGCTGTCATGAGCATGTCAGTATTGCCATTGTACCCTGTGGTACTAAGATTAAGTATATGTTTCAGCTAAGTGACATCAAACAGGCATAAACGCTGTGCTAAGAGCTAGTCAAGCATGTGCAAGCTTCTTATACTGAAGTGCTTATGACCTGAAGCAGTGGTCCCCAAGCTGTTACTTGTGATGACATGTGATGCTGCTATTAGACACAGAAATTTGTTAGACAGTTTTCTATGTAAGATAAAAATCCATGGAGGGGGGAGATTTTCTTTTCTAAATAAAGAAATTCATCTGGCTTTTTGTAGCTTAAGCCAGTTTAGATAGCGGTTGCTGTATTTGAGAAAATTATTTCTTTATCATGCCCTTCCTGTTAAATTTATTTTAGGCCACAGAGTGATTCCTTTTACTCACTGGTGAGGTTGGTTTTTAGTTTTAATTCTACTTTTGCTTCCAGTGCCCTAATGTCTTTAAATATTTAGTATACAAGAGATTTTCTATCTTCTAGAATAAATGGTCTGAAGGGAGGAGGAATTTCTGAAACTATCCTACTTGAATGTGCAAGCAAGCTGTTTATCTGATTATGAGCCCTGCTTCTGCACAGGCCACTGAAGTGATGTGCCAGTGATTTGTGTAGCTGATATCTGTTTCAAAGTCATGCTGACTTAAAAAAACCAACCAAACAAAGAATGGCAAACTACTAAATAAAAACCCAACTCAGATCTTCACATTACTGGGAGAGTAGAAATGATTCCATGGTTGGTAGAGTGGTTTGGTATACAGAAAATTTGTAGGAAAATACTTCTTTTGTTTGTTTCTGTTGATTCATGCACAGATTGCCTCTACACGTTTGATGTATCATTTCTTCTTTGCTGCTCAGGGGAGCACACGTCTGTGCTTTAGGGGGGAAGGGATCCCAGGAGAAGCTCTTTGAGGCTGACATGCTGTGCTGTGTGATAAGAGCCATTGCATAGGCAAAGGTTCTGCAAATTGCTTATAGTGTGCAGATCTGTTTATTCAATTTTATACACAAGTGTGTGAGAAACATTTTTCTTTTCTCTCTTAATGCAGGTCAACTTTGTAGTGTGCCAACTGTTTGCCTTGCTTGCGGCTGTTTGGTTTCGAACATACCTTCATTCAAGCAAAACTAGCCCATTTATAAGACATGTTGTTGCAACCCTCTTGGGCCTTTATCTTGCACTTTTTTGTTTTGGATGGTAAGTTGCAATTCAATTCCATTTTGAGAGACTTGTAAATTTTCGTTTCTTGTTTGCAGGGAAGCAAAGTTTTGTTATGAAGAACATGATTTCTTAATTCTGTGGGTTTAGCTGCTGCAAATGTACAGAAATCAGCTACAATTTCCTGATGTGGTGCACAAATATTGAAAAGTGTTCCTTTTGCAAACCGGTAACTAACATACTGTCTGCCTGTGGTTTCGGGAGGATGGAGTGGGTGCAATTTGTTTAATTTGTACCGGTTTTTCTGTAAACTTGCTTGAGAAGTATTCTCTTGAGGCACAGGTGTGATGACTAAGATAATGTCTCTTAAATACTCACTGCATGAGACACACTCGCTGTGTCTTTTTCTGAATACTGAATATAATCTGATTTGTGTAGGACGAGTTGCCAGAACTGCAGTACCTATGATGCTCCTAGTAATATAAAACACCTGGAAAGGAGCTGGCTTAGATTTGAGAGTTGTTTCTGTGTGGGTTTTTTCTTTTATGTTTTACAGGGAGGGTGTGGTGGTTTTGTTGTTTTGGGGTTGTTTTTTTTTTTAAACACAGGTTTTCTGTTTTTACATCTTGATCTTTTGACGGTGTAGCAAGCCAGAGTATTGGTAGGGCTAGTAAAAGGTCGGTGGGGAAGAGGATGCATTTAGTTTGGTGAATTTCTTTTTTCCGTAAAAATTACCTTACTAAATAGCTCTGATCTCCCCAAGATGGTTTAAGATTAATTGCCAGTTTTGTAAACAAAGTGCTTGCTCAGCTTCAAGTGTACAGAAGACTTATTTATACTATTGCAGAGTATTACTGAGCTAGGGGGAATTAAGCTGTTGTGCAGGTGGATTTACATGTGCAATTTACTTGTTTATATAATTCCATTAGCTCCCATGTATTTCTTAAACTTTTGGCTGTGGTATTGTGCTTTGAGAGAACAACTTGATGTCAAAGACTGCCAGTTTTAGCACCAAATGAGGAGGATGATATGGGAGATAGGTGCTAGTGAGTGTGGTTTTTGTGACAGCTGTGTAAACTGTAGAAGCACATTCTGTATCCATTGCTTTGGAAACAGAAGTCATTAATTGTAACTTGTGATTAGAAAATGTTAACAATATATTCATATCTGAAGTTTGGGGATGGGAGACTTTGGAAAGAAAAAACCTCCACCCCCAACAGATATAAATAAAGATTTGTAGAAGCCTGTCACTGGCGGAGTGCCCTGGAAAAGAAATCTGAGAGATATTTTATGTCATAGTAGAAATCCAGATTATTCTAGTTTGATTTGGATCATAGTTAAAGCAACTATTTTTGCAATGAATTTCTATATTACTGAAAGTTTGGGTATTTTTTTTAGAATCATGGTATTAAAAGCTTTTTAAAAATGTAGAGCAACATAATTTGAGATACAATTAGTCAGCTACACATACAGGTTACAGTCCTGTGGTACACCTTCAGTGACTCTTCAGCTGTGTTATAATGTGTGAGTACAAGAGGGAAACTGTTACTGGCTTGTTTTATATAGTAAGAGTTTGTAGTAAAAGTAGATTTGTAGATCATGTCATCCAAATGTAGGTAGTAGTTTGAAATCTGCACCCTTTTATTAGTCATTATGTTGTCTTCAGTTTCAGTTGTGTTACTTTTCAGTCACCTTTGTAGTGCTTGTGATGGTGTAACCAAAAAAGAAGGGATAGTTCATTGGGATAATAGCAAGTAGTATAAAAGGCTTAGAATACCCTTTGTGTATAGCTAAAATTTACTATTTCATGTTGTTTCTATGCATCCCTTTTTTTTTGAATTGGAGATCAATCATATTGCTACCATTAACAACTCTGAAAGACGAATATTTTCAGAGACTGTAAACTTGGTATGGTATTCCACATCAGCCCACACTTTTTCAGGCTTTGAAATATTATGTTCCTCCCTCCATTTAAGAAGCAAACATCTTAAACATAAATTTTTGCCATTTCACTAATGCCTGCCTTTGCCACATAACGTTGCTAATACATGGCTGATATGAAAAGATAAATATTTTTTTAATTGGCAGTTGCTTATATTAAACATGCATTTGAATTTTAGGTAGTCATATCTTAGATGAGACTAGCTAGTAGTGAAGCATGGTTGCATGTGCAGATTGGATCTTCCATTAAAAAGTCAAGATTCTCAAGGTCAGTTAATGTCCAAGTGAACTGTTCTCCCTTAGTTCATTGTACAAAGACTTTGTAGGAGTTTAGCTGGATAGAGCTGGGTTTCTTGTTCAAAGTCTTTGAAGACATTTTCTTGTGAATAGGTGAGGATTAAAATCAGAAAATTGTTGATAAGCTGAAAGAAAACATTATCAGTATAGCAAAATAGTAGTTGCTTTTTAGGCTGGTTATTACGGAAAAAGTACCAAAACTAGATAAGTGTGTTACTTGAGCATATCTAAGAGATACTGAGACAGTTAAAGTACTAAAGTGAAAGAGAGTCATACTGAAGATCAGATACTGTTCCTCTATCACTGGTAGTGGTTTGCCACCAGTGCTCTACCAGCTTACTGAATCATAGAATCATAGAATGTTTAAGGTTGGAAAGGACCTTAAGATCAAGTTCCACCCCCCCTGCCATAGTCAGAGATGCCTCACTGTAGACCATGTTGCCCAAGGCTCTGTCCAACCTGGCCTTGAACACTGCCAGGGATGGAGCATTTACCACTTCTTTGGGCAATCTATTCCAGTGCCTCACCACCCTCACAGTAAAGAATTTCTTCCTCATATCTAATCTAAACTTCCCCTATTTAAGCTTGAGCCCCTTACCTCTTGTCCTATCACTATAGGCCCTAATGAAGAGTCCCTCTCTGGTATCCTTGTAGGCCCCCTTCAGATACTGGAAGGCTGCTATGAGGTCTCCATGCAGCCTTCTCTTCTCCAGACTAAGGAGCCCCAACTTTCTTATCCTGTTGGTAGCTATGGTGTTAAGCTATGGAAAACAAATAAGGAGATGAGGTTAGAGTACCTTTGTGAAATACATCTGTGGGTTGTTGGTGTTGTAGGGTTTTTTGTTTGTGTTTTTGAGACCATCATCACCACCATCCTTTTATTGATTATTGAGAACTTGGGGCAAAGAGGCTGGGTGGACAGAGTTACCATTTCTATTGACTAGGAAGTCTTCCCATATGCTTATATTGTGGATATGAAGATACTGTTTGCTTTATCCAAGATACCTGTATTTGCAAACTGATGTTTATCCAAGATACCTGTATTTGCAAAAAAAAGATGAGTATGGGAATTGAACCACAAAATGGATGAAATAATACTAAGTGGAAGTTTTATCAGACATGTACTTTGCAATTTAAGGATTAACTGCATTTACTATATTCTTGTTTATGAGCTGGATAAATCTAGCTAAATCTGTAGTTTTTGTTCATTACTGCTGTTGGTGCTCTGCTGAAGACAGAAGCCCTCAAGAGAGGGAGGGCTCCAGGAAACTTAAGTAGATCAGAAGGGGTTTTTGGAAACAGTGATGGAGTTAAAATTTGAACCTCTTTAATTTCACATTAAATAAATAAATGCATGCAGTTTATTTTCATTAATGAAAGTGCTGTGAGGGTTTACTATTTGGTTTGTTGGTTTTTTTTTTCTTCTCCTAGGTATGCCTTACATTTTGTTATACAAAGTGGCATTTCCTACTATATCATGATCATAATAGGAGTGGAGAATATGCACAAGTAAGTTTCTATTCTTAAAGTTTTTAATATGATTTTACAGGAATGCTACTGTTAAGGTTCTTTTTGTCACTGTGCACGTATGCTGTATTTCTGGTTGTATCACAGTATTCTAGTATTTTAATTCTGCTAACCATGGTTTTATTTCCAGGACAGAAAATGACTTATTTGGGTATTTTTGTCAGCTTTTTGGACTATCCAAAGCTTGTTACAGTTGGTAATATCCCACTGAGATTTCTTTTGTGTTCTCAGCATTCTGATTTGTTTTTTCGTTACTTTATCATACCTAATTGTATATCTCACAGATGAATTGACTGTACAAATATAATCTGATAACAGCCAGTGCCGGTAGAAGGAAGATGTCTGAAGGAAAAAGAATTTGAGATTTTTATTTTTTTTTTTAGATACTCTTTGTAAAATTACATATGTAGGCTATTATTTTAGGTATGCTTGAATGCATGATTAGATTAGCTGTATCTGAATCCATGTAGAATTGCACTTGTTTCTCTTCTTCAGTCATTCTTAAAAGCAGGAAAGACATTTATCTTATTACTGAATGCGTATGCTGTATTATTCCACTAGTCTAGAGCTCAGAACCAAATTAGGTTCCCGCTGTGTTAATTCCTGCATAAATGTTTAGTAAAATAGCAAATCCTTGCTTCAGCGGGTTCCTGCAGGCTGTCAGGAAAGATGCTGATAAAAGTACCAAAAAGGAAAATTGCTTTACACAGGAAGTGCAAAGCCAGGGTGGCCTTAGTTCATGATCCTGCCTATTAGAACATTCTGCTTGTTTATACTGTGTTACTGAATATAATTTTAGTGTCTTTTGAAGTATCCCATATTGGCCTCTTATTTTGGGATTTTTCTACAGAGCCTGAGGTATTCAAACTACTGCAGATGTGAGAACTTCATTGGGTTGTATGGCTGGTTTATATTCTAATTTCATTAGTTTTTAATTGTTTTAAGGAACTTTTTCTTGTCAATTTCTCTTCAGATATGTAGCAATGTAAGTTACAACTTATGTAGCTTAACATTTTAAAAGAAATTACCAATGTGGTTAAGTGCTGAAAAGGGAGGTACCAGGCAGGAATACTTTGTTTTTTTTGTCATAACAAATTACATAGGTTTTTAAAAGGAAATCTAATGGTGATTTACTTCCCTAATAGCGAGAGGCAAGTAGGCATGTGTCTTTAATATTCCTGCGTTGGAGCAGGGGAACTCTGTAGTTCCTGATCCTCTCATTTCATGCCTGCTGGTTTAACTGTATGGCCTGACTGCATAAATGTTTGCTGTACTATGCACAACTGTGTATGTATGTTCTCTGTTACTCTTAGTTACTGTGCAGTTGGGAGGGTAAAACCTGGATTTGGCTACTTGGCTTATGTTGCTTTATCACAGTATGAATTAACATACCATGGGATAACACTAGAAAGCTCTTTTAGTGGAGGAAAATAAATTATCTAACAAATGGAGTAATTTGTTACTTCAGTTTGTGGACAATACTTGGATGCTGTGTGTGATGCTCCCGAAGCCATTTCTAGTAGGTGATACGGGCAAGACTGTACAAGGTTTGCTCCTTCCATTGCCACAGTATCCCAAAAGGGGTAATGCCTCTCGGTATCCCTTTATGCCTGTACTTTTTACTGAAGGAATGGCTGGATACGGTCCTGGGCAGCTGGCTGTTAGTGGCCCTGCTTGAGCAGTGTGTTGGACCATATGATCTCCAGAGGTCCTTCCTAAGCTCAACTGTTCCATGGTTCTATGTTATTTTGTTGCAGTCACAATTCTTTGTACTGTACCTATGGTCATGTAAGTTTGCTGCTTGAACACGGTAATGTAAAGAGATTTGAATTTGAGTGAACAAACCTTGGTTGTAACTGGTCTGCCCCCTGTGGAAGTGCTGCCTGGCCATCCCTTTCCTTGGGATCTGGGAATTCTAGTCCTCACTAAGTTCCCTTCCCCTCTTAGCCAAAGTCAGGACAGCAGTGCCTTGCTCCCCTTGTCCTTTGTTTCTTGCTGTGGCTTTGATAAACAGTGGGACGTTTGACAAAGCACGGGAAACTTGATGGTTTGAACTTTGAAATCTCGGATTAAGAGACAAGTTAGTCTTGTTCATCAGAGTGAACTAATTAATTCAACATGTTAATTGAGGCTCTTAATTTGTCAGTCAGGTGTTTAATAATGCTGAATGTCCTGACAGTTGATAGACAGGTTTGACTGCTATTGAGCCTACAGCTTTGATTGTTGTAAAAATTAGGTTAGATATTGTTTAAAAGTTATGTTTTCACTGAAATACAAAATGGTAAAGGCAAATTACTCTCATCCTGAGTTACTGGCAAGGTTTTGTAAGTGTCTTTGTTTCTTCAGAAATGAGAACATTCATAAGCCGAAATGATTTTTGAAAATGCGAATTAGGCTGTTTTTTTTTAGCTTTTGTTTGTTTCCGCAGGCCCTCGATCAGGGTAAATGTAAATTTGTTTTGTTTTGGTCTTTTTTCTTTCTCTTTTTTTATTGCTGTCTGCCTGTGAGTTGATCACAGATGTCTTGGTCTATGGAGAGCATACTTGATGTGGATAAAGGTTTTTTTTTTCTGTGCATAAGAGAATTTGAAGCAACAATCTAAAATTAGTCATCCTCAAATCACAAGACTGAAATAACAATATCTAACAATCTTCTTAGGGTTTCACTAAGAAATGCTATCAATTTCTAATGATTGGAAGCCTGCCACTAATTACGGTTCTTTGAAGGCGTGAGGGCATCTGGACAGCTGTAAGCTGTCTGATATAACTTCTCAGTTAGAAATTTGTAATTTATTTATGTCACTTGAATAAAAATGCCTGGTACATAGGTAGCTGCCAAAGGACAGTGGGCACAGCACTAAAAATACCTGGATTCAGAACTTGAGGTATTAATAGCTGCAAACTGTTCTGCATATGCAAACACAATTTTTCTGTGTTTTTGCTCTACAGTTAGTGTAAATAAGAAACTTATTTGAAGTTAAAGCAATTGAGAGATGAAAATTATTAAGGATGTTCTTATTCAGCCAAGGATAAATGCAAGATGGAGAAAGATGAGATCCTTTGATTCTGTAGCCTTAACACAAAGACTGAGAAAAACAAGTAGTGTTCTAGTAGCAATTTTTATTGTCTTATCAGATGTATGTTAAATGCAAAAAAAAACCCTCAACCTTTTAAAATTTTGCAAAGTTTTTGTATAGATGAAAATTGGATAGATTTTAAGCATAATTTCTACAATATGTATAGAAGTCTTATCCTCCCCTTTTAAAAATAAGCACCAAGGCTAATGAGTGGCTGTATTTGGGAACATATTTCAGTAGTTATCAACTAACTGTTCCAGTAGCCAAGATTGGATTTGGGAATGATTTGGAAATACTCTGTCTTGTGTGAAGAGCTATAGAAATGATTTGGGCAACTGAAACCAAGTATTGTTAAGAACCTGACTGGGTTCTTCTCAAGGAACTGCAAGACTGAACTATTTATACTGGAGATAAAAATGTGGAGAACTTCTACTTTAGCAGGCAAAGCATTACAAACTGTTAATAGTACTGAAAGCAAGAACGCTGTTTTCCTTTAGATGGAAACTCTTTTCTGCTATCAGGAATACTGTTGTGGCTCTATGCAGAAGGGTGTTTCACCTCTTGTTGAATTGGTTATTAAGTTGTTGCTCTGATTTTCTGTGGGATTTTTTGGGGAGGAGGATTTGGTCAGTTTTTCTTAATAGCAAAGCATATGGTCTGGCTGCTAGATGGCCTTCCTAGTCAGTTAAAACCTTTGAGGTTTTGCTTGTGTAATAGACTTTTCTTGTCTGTTTGCAGAGGTGAACACTTTTTCTTCAAGAACGCAGCTTATTTCATATGTGTATGCTAAAAAGGTAAACACAGAGTTAAAATAGAACTATAACACATAAATAAGCAGAGCTCATGGTCTGAAATTGGCTCCATGTTTTCATTAAAATTTTTCATGGCTCTTAATTTTGTCCTTAACTGCCAAGTTTCTTCTTTACATGGTTAAATTGAATGATCTACTTGAAAATACCTTCACTGAGTTGACTGAGCAGATGAGAGCTCTGCACAACTCAAATTCTTATAACCTGCTGCTGCTACCTTAGTATTGTGTGGGAATGGGACTTGCATGGGGTATATCCTATAGTTCTTTGAAATTTAATAGCTGCCGCCCACATGCTCTTTGCATCACTTCTGCATGGAATTGCTCATCAAAACAGCTTAGTTTAAAACTGACCTATCAAATTAAAAAAAAAGCCCACAATGACAAAACCCCTCATATCCCTGTTCATTTTTGTGTAACTTGGAAACTGTGTCTAATAGTGCTAGAGGTTCTGATTTTCTTCGGTTTTGTTTGGGTTTTCTTTTTCGTTGAGTATGCTTTATAGACTTATTTATCTTCATTATTTGTTATATGTTTGATTCTTCTGATGCTTACCTAGAGATGAACACTTTCATGTTCTGAAGAGTGTGCATGGCAACACTGACTGGCACCAGGCAGTGATTCACTGTATGCTGAAGATCTGACAGAAATAGCAATTCAAATAGATGGCTCAAAAAGTGAGCGCTTGTTGAAGTAAACACCTGTGAAGGAATTTCCTAGTAATCCTTATGAATTTCTTTTGAAAGTATTTGCTTTAAATAGATATTTCAAGTTCATCCGCTTTAACTTCCTGTAACTCTTCTGGCTGTGCTTGGATAAAATTCAATGCATTACTTGAAACAATAAAAGTATAAGTTGAAAAATAATTTCATATATTAATCTTCCTTAGAACTGGAATGTTTGAATGGGAAGGACTTTGTCGATCATATTTTGTAATTACAGAAATGGAGTGAAAAGAGAACTAGGGTTTTTTTTTTTTTTTGCCTTATTTTTAAATAAGGATTAAATACATTTATTTAATCTTTGGTATGTGTCCCCCATGTATATATAGAGAGAAAGAAGGAAGGATGGGAATCACATAGGGTCTGCAGCTTTGTG